ACTTTTCTTCAGATGGATTAGATATGAGCAGTTATGCAGCAGACAATGTGGCTCCTTGTTGTTATAATCTGTATGCACTTTCAAATCACAATGAGACAACTTAGAGTGGGCATTGCACAGCATATTGCAGACACCAATACACTGGCACGTAGCACGAATACAACCTTTTACATATGTCCCTAATTTCAACAAAATCGATTGTAAATGGGGAGGCATATGTCCTCTTTTATGAACAAGAGGGAACAATGTCACACTTTAGAGGTATTTTTTTTTAATAAATTCAGTGAATTGATTTGTATTTCATAGTTCCAATGGAATTATTGTTGAAATTCAAAAAGAGTTATTTCTAATTTCCTAAAATTTTGAGTTCATACACCAGAGAAAGAAAACCACAGAGATTTATTGAAAAACTAAAATACACCACTGAAAAAAAATCTAATTAGGCCGGGACTGTTTGCTTGTTTAGTTCGTGGCTCTGCTTTTTGTGCAATTTGCAAGTCTTTGTGATAAGATTGTCATAGACGTTCATATTATTTTACTCAAGGTGATACCAACCAGCGTTGTTCTTGGAACCAGATTTTTGGTATCGAATTCATCCATAAAAATGTACTGAATTTGTAGTAAAAAGTACTGCAACGGTCAAATTTTTTCACCTCAGAATAATTAAATATTTTTAATAGCATAGAAAGTTATGATATATTAGATTTGTGGAACAGGTTGTCGGCTGTAAAAAATTTGAAAACCAATCAATCTTTATTAATTCAAGTGTGCCATCAAATGAGAAAAAATTTTCATTTCAAACAATGGAAATATTGTTAAAACATGAAATACATGTTCGGATATAAAAAAAAACCGTTTTTCAAATACTGTTTCGTCTCCTTCATTAGCAAAATTTCACGATTTGTGAAAAATTTTATGATGATCTTATTGTGAGGTTTTAAATCTGAATTGGACCAAAACTCAGCCAGGTATGGGGAATTAAAAAAGGTGGATATTTCAAATATGTTCCATTCCGCCATAATGACACCTATAAGACTGTAATTTGGCAAGAGAAAAAAAATGTTTTGCTAAAATTACTTTTTCTGTGAGGTATTGCGAAAGTTTGCAAATAACGAGCAAAATGTGTCGTTGAAATTGACGTCCTAAATGCATCCCAAAAAAGGTTCATGCAGTGAATTTTTCATGGTCTCTTTGTTAGATCAATATGAAACCAAACCTCCAATTTGACCTTTATCAAATATCAAATATATGTAATTATCAACGATTGTAATCAATAGTCGATGTATCGTATTCAATTTTGGGTGTGTTCATGTGATTTATCATCCTAAAACGATTAGTAGCTTTTATAAATAGTTATTAGATCATTAGCGTATGGTTGTAGTAAAACGTCACGTATGATTTGGATGTGGACCTCATGTAGGTATATATTGAAGAGGAGAGGACTTGTGGAATTTTGGCAGAAATTTGTTGTAGACTTCAAAAATGCCTTTTATTATCTTCAATGGAAATATGTTTACTACTCAAGAGTTTGATTTTTGAGTTAGCTAATTGATTTTAAATCTCATCGTACCTAAAATTTATATATATGCTGTTCATTTGTTATTGATGTATTTTCTCTCTTCTAGAGATGGGTGTCAGTGGCCTGTATCTTTATTCAGACTTTCGTATACGTAGTTCTGCGAATCGTTCATGTGCGAAAGATTGCTTGAATCTGTATTCTTGAATTCATACTATCCTTCACAGGTATTCATATATATCCAATTCCAATTTCTCTAGAATCGTTCTCTGTGACGTTACCTGCGCATACATTGCGAACGATGATTGGTGATTCACGAATAGCATCCCTGTGTGTTAGACGTTGACGACAATGTGCTGAATCCTCTATGAATATACTGTGAGGTCTTATACTGTTCCAACTCTCCATTTGAATATCATACTAGTTTCGTTTTTTTGCATTATGAATGTTTGTTCGTATTTTGATAACTGGGTGTGACAATTTCTAGATTTTGTTGCGAATGCTCAAGAGTAAATGACCAAGGGTGAAATTTTCGAAAGATGAAGGGACGAAATCAGAGTATCACTCACATTGTGAAGAGGCACGTCTTGTTGCATGCGATATATAGGATTTCTCTTTTCGAAAATTATACCCCGTCAAACTCTCATTTGTCCCTTAGAAATATCAGTTTGGGCTCTCGAGCGAATGGTCAAGACTAGTAAAAAAAAATTCACCTGAAAGAAAATATTACATTTATTGATGTTATGATTGCAAAATGAGAGTGTGCGTTTGTAATTCGAAGAATAAAGATTAGGTGACGCGCAGGTTACCTGGTTACGTGCTCGATTTAGGCAATGGTTTTCATTAGATAATTATGTTCCAAAAGTAATTGGAAAATACTAACCAATGATTTTGTTGTGGTGAGAATGACAATTGGCAGATGATGGTTTTCAATTTGGACTATTTGAAGGAGTGATTGATATGGTAGCTCGGTTACTTTTATGTAGTTAAGAGTGAATCAAAAAAAACAAAACATTCCGAATCGAATAGTATTTATAATTGGTGACGAGAAATGAATTATATTTCAATAATGAATTTCAATAATGATAACTTTCATCAATCTCAAGAAACATAACATGTTTAAAGTAGGGACAATGAATTATACATATTGAAAAAAATGAACACTGTGAATAATAGAACAAATAAAAATATGTAAAACTACCAAATTGTCTTGTTGTGTCTTGAATTTCGTATAATTGATTAATTCATATTGTTAGGTATTCTTTCATATAAATCATGAAAAATACATTTTTGACCAAATTTGCTTTTGCGTGGCTGATGAATTGAATTTGGAACTTGCTGTGTATTAAGAATAGAATCAAATTATTTTCACGAGAATAAATTGACCAAACATTTGAATAACTCAGATAGGTACATTTTAACACTAAAAAGTTCCGGTTGTCAGCAATTGCCTAATTTGGGAACTGAAAACAATGAAGTACATGGGATGAAACAAATGTATTCAGACAATCATCAAGAAAAACAAAAAATCTAGTAAAGCTGACATAAAAACTATGTAAATTTCGAAATTAACAATATTGAAAAGATGAGTTACAAACTTCAAAGAAATTCATTTCATGAAATTCTTCATTGTTAGGGGTCCTCTATGAATTGCATCTTCCTTCGAAAATTTATCTTGACTTAAAAGTACCTTCAGAAAAAAATGGGTCAACTTCAATTTTCATTTTGATAAATTTTAGATTATTCAATTAAAGAATGTATGGTCACAGTATGTGATTTCCGGTTTCCACTTGGAAAATAAATTTAGCTATTGACTTATCAATTACACACTTTCATTGACCGCTGTCAAAAATTCTAGTTGTTAGTGATCAAGAAGAGGTTAGTTTTGGAACATGTCTTTTATCACCCCTCTCACGAAAATACAGTGTTTTGTGGCCCCTCTTTCCTGTTTATCAAGTCTTTTGTCTTTGACTACAATACAGAACACCAGATGTATGTAATTTTTGTGTTCTGTGATTTTACTTCACTCTTATGAAAGCACTGTAAACTGTCAATCTGCCTGATTCTTGGTATAAAGAATTACAGAAAATTCATTAATTTTACGTACATTTTTATAAATTTATAGTTTTTCGTTGAAATCAATTGTTGTAATAATTGTTAAATTGTTGTTATGTTATAAATAAATGGTAAGTTTCATATAAAATTAATTTGTTGATTGGTACTAGGAACAAAAGGTGAAAGACATTTGAAAATATTTCATACTTTCCTATTAATAATTAATTTTTTTTTCCAGGTTTCCCAGGCGCAATAAATCTATTATAAAGTATGTATAAAAAATACTTCATTAGGATGTGTGCCAAGTGTACCTCATTTTTTTATGTTGTCCACAGTGCAAAGAATTTTTGTGCAATTCCAAGGAAATGTCTAATAGGAGTTCGCTGGTGATAGGGAATAATACAGTTGGACCCAAACAAATAGATCTGGATCAAATATGGGGAGATTTATATGCTGGGATCCAGCAGGTGTACAACCGGGTGACTATGCATAAATCGCGATACATTCAGTTGTACACACATGTTTATAACTACTGCACATCAGTTCACCAACAATCCAATGGACGTGCACCAAATCCCATTAGCAAAAACAAAAAGAACCATGTTGGCGGAGGGGCTCAACTAGTCGGCTTGGAATTGTACAAAAGACTGAGAGAATTTCTGAGAAACTACCTAGTTTCACTGTTGAGTGTGAGTGTTTTTTATATACATTTCTATTTTTAGTGTATTAAGTTCTTATAAACATGATTTGAATGCAAAAGATTCATGGAAGATATTTCGCTCTCTTGATCTATTAGGTTTAAATTGTCAAAATCCAAAAGTTTACATTGATGTGTTATATATACATTCACCATAAAACTTGGTGACTGGGAGTATGGCAGAATGGTTAATTTTGGCCAAGATATACAATATAAACAAGTCATTGAATTTTCGTATTAAACCCAACAGTAAAGATCAAACCTCATATATGCTTAGGCAACATTACAATTATTGTACTAGGTGAAGGTAAAGTATTGAATTAGTATTTTATGACCGCCAAAATCCAAGATGAAAAGAAACCAGAGGTCAATTAGGCCTATGTAAATTATTTTGTCAAAAACTCCCAATCTAGATAGAGTATTTTTCATAAAAGAGTATAGTGAATGTTACATTTGATTCCTAGAGGTGCAGAGAGCACACCAAGTGACACTGCTTGACATTTTAATATTCATATTTGGAAATAAATTGATATTGGATATGGGATTCTATATTAACCATGTTTTATTTATATTATTATGCATCATGTAAACGTTAGTTTTAGGCATTACTTACAGTTTTCTTAATTTTTTTATATTTATTTACATTCTTGTTGCATTCAGTTGCAATGAAAAATATGTTATTTTTATATTCTATCCAGAAATGATAGAGACTAACAGCAGTATATCTATATAAATTAGTGCCATAGGCGTACTGCATTCAAATCATTCACTTCTCAACAAATCGAATAAATGAAAATACCAAATTTATTCTTGAAAAATCTCATTCATAATAAATAAAATAACAAATCAACTTCTTCTACTAATTTGAAAAAAATGTCCAGTAGACCCCAAGACATTCTTCATTCTGAAGGGTATTGAAAAAACATTTTTTTTTTAAGTTGATATAAATAGATATTCCTTTGAATTATACCGTCAACAGACACACTGCACCCATAAATAGGACCGACTTGGCTTTTTCCATAGGAAGAAAATATTACATTATTTTCTTTTGGGAGTTTAAATGCCGTGGTACCTGTACTATTTCCTTCTTAGCCTTAGCCCTAGTGATATCCTTCAGTTTACTTTGAGAATGTGTTGAATAAAAAGATATACAACATGGAAGCTAGTTGTTCGGGAACCGTGAAGCGTCCAAAACTTTCAGAATTTATTATAAATAAAAAAACAATTGTTATGAATGTTTAGAATTTTAAAAAAATACAATACTTATCAGCCCGAAATGAAAAGTAAGGAGGAAGTAGTGCAAAAATGCGCGAGTATGACCAAATATCAATAGATAGACAATTTTTAGAATTTTTCAAGAATACAATATCAGCCCGAAATGAAAAGTAAGGAGGAAGTAGTGCAAAAATGCGCGAGTATGACCAAATATCAATAGATAGACAATTTTTAGAATTCTTAAGGAACTCGAGGAAAACAACAGCTTTTTGGAGGCGAAAGTATCCATTGACAGAAAGTGTTTGGCTATCGACGAAGAAGTTAAGAATTCTATAATCGAAATACCTTCATTAAATAAAGTTTTGTCAGTTATTCGTGAAGACAGTTTTTTCCTGATGTGCGAAGAACTATCACAACAGCTGAACTTCACTTTTGGAAAACAAGATAGAAGGATCATGTTAATAGAAAAATCAGAGATTGTAGAATGGAAAAGAAACTATTTAAGAGAAATAAAGACAGCCAGAACACTGGGTAAATTTATTTTTTATTTGGATGAAACATGGGTCAATAAGGGTCATTATGTCTTGAAGGTTTGGCAAGACCAGAACATGGAAGCTTGGTCCACTAATTTGAAAATTACAGTTGGAAAGTTTGTCGTCTGATCGTCACTCACATAGGCAGCAGTGAGGGATTCATGAAAGATGGATTGATGCTGTTTTAATCGAAGAAAATTGGGGATTATCATCAAGAAATGGATACCACAGTATTCGAAGCATGGTTTAAAAACATGTTTATACAAATTTCGCAGGGTTCCCTTGTAGTAATGGATAATTACTACAATACCACAGTAGGCGAGTTGAGAAGCTGCCGACATCGTGTTGGAGGGAGGCAGATATTACTGAGGGGTTACAAATAAAAGCTATTTCTTCCAAATCAACCATGTTAAAAGCGGATCTCCTCAACTTGGGTTAACGTCATAAGTCAAAATTCGTCTAGTGTGTCACCGATGAGATGGCGAAGACTGAAGGAATGTCGGTTCTTCAGTTGCCGCCTTATCACTGTGCATTGAATCCAATATAGTTGGTTTGGGCTGAAGTTGAAGGATTCATCGCAGGGAATAACAAGACCTTCAAACTGTGTGAAGTAATAAAATGCCTATACAGTGCTCTCGAAACAGTCGTCCAAGAAGCTTTGGAAAAATGTATCCACAAAGCAATCAGAATCGAAAAAGAGATGTGGAATCTCGATGACCACATAGACTCATTATCAGAAAAAAAATTCCAGTTGTCATCAATCCTAATGAAACTGATTCATTCAGATAAGAGTTACTTAACTAATCCCTGTAGACTTTCTCAGATTACAAATTATCGCAATATCTCATTCGATGTAAGTATTTCCATTAAATCTATAAAATTGCTTTATTTCCAAATCAACAAGAAATCGTTTAACTAGCTTTCACTTATTTTTGACATGGTTTCTTATTTGGGATTGTTACCCTCCACACACATATTCATCTATTTATTTACAGAGTAGGAAGGGTAATGATATATCTTTATTTGCTCCGGTTACATATAATGTACATATATAAACTCCGAGGAGTGTGGAACATGTCAGTAATAAAGGAGAAGAAGAAGAACTTTATTTATTTAGTAGGACATGTCCTAATATAAATATAAAAAAATAGCTATACAAACATATTTCTAGACTAATAGTTATATAATAAAAAGAAAAGAAAGACAAATAACGAAAACATAAAATAATGCACTTAAAGTATATAAATTCGTATGAAGAAAATTGATTATGTACATTCTGGTGATTTATAGTGACTGGATATGTTAACTGATCCTCGTTTTAAATACATAAATGGTATTAGATTGCTTGATGTCTTGTAGCTTATTGAACTCATCGAGTCCTTTATAGAATAGCGATTTCATTGAGTTTGCCATTTTCCAATTAGGGAGATGAAACATATTTCCTCTAGTAGTATAGTTATGTATTTGGGAGTTAATCGTAGTAAATTCACTTAGATAATCTGGAAGTAGCTTATGTAATATTATATAAATAAAAATCATTGTTAATTTATAAAATCTGTTTTTCACCGATACCCACTGCAAGCAATCTAACATCGCTGCAATGCTGGTAAAACGATTACACTTCAGTGTAACGATTACACTTCAGTGTAATCGTTACACTGAAGTGTAACGATTACACTGGTAGTAAGCTACCACAATAATCAAAGTGGGGCTGGATAATGGTGTTATATACTGTAATTTTGGACTATGTTGAAAGACATGAGAAAATTCTTGAGAAGAAGTAAAGTTTCTTACTAATTTTTTTACTTATGTAGGAAAAATGTTCATGCAATAATAGGCTATTATCAAGTATGAATCCAAGATATTTAAACTGGTTTATGAATTCAATTTTATTGTTATCTATTTCCAGATTGAGTTGGTTTGAGTTGATGTTTTTGTATTTAAAGGGTGTGGTTAGGATCATTGCCTTACATTTTGTCACATTGAGTTTCATTTTGTTAATATTGAAATATACTTGTAGTTTTTATAGGGAATCGTTTATCTTGTTGATTGAACCATATAGATCATTGCCTGAGATTGACATTAACGTATCATCTGCGATAAATTGAGAAAATCACATTCATGATAGTATTGTATATCATTGATATAGCATAGGAATAATAAAGGATCCAAGACACTTCCCTAAATAACAACTAAATAACATATCAAAGCTTTACATACACAATCAGTATCATCACACAAGTAGTTTTAAGACAAAAAAATATATATAAAATCAGGCATATATAAATAACATTCACATAGTTAGAAATCACACATTCACGTGTTAGGAATCACACGTTAAAAGGTAAGACCTCGTTAATCCTTAGCTCGCACAAGTTTCGACTTCTGAGGGTTGTCGTTGTAGGGGTGCGACAGCTGGTTAACGGAAAAACAGATTTTAAACAGATTTTTATACTATCATTTAAGAATTTTTGTAACCTATAATAAAGTTTTTCTACGAGGTAGTTCTTCAAACGACATTTCATTGTTGAAATTGGAAGTTATCTTAGAGTGAGTGGAAATTTTTTGTAAATGTTTAAAACGCTATATTTGACATTTCTCTGTATGTATGTATAGTTGCATTTCTCATTTCTAAGATCATTCTTTGTTCTGGTGTTGTATAAGTGATCCTTTTCACAGTTAATGATAAGTTCTGATTTATTTTCTGTTACAAATACTACTACGTCATATATATAGAGATTTATCAAAGTTGAAATTTTGCTCCTAATAAAAGCTTCTCTGCAGCTATCGTTTTTTTCATCTTATAGATATACCTGATAAATTTGTTTGTAGTATGAGTATCCTACAAATATCAAGAGAGGTTCCCCGGAATATAATTCCATATTTTATCCTAGATTGATCATTCTAGATTGAATGGTATGCAGAGAGGGCAGCTTCGGTTGAGACATGTTCCGACAGTATTCTCAATGCATAGCAATATTTTGCAATATTTCTTGATAAGTAGTCTATGTGATGTTTCCGGTGCAGTCTCTTATCTATTAACAGTCCCAAAAATTTTACCTGATTGCATATGTTTATATTTTGATTATTATATTTAAAGGTATTCAACTCTGGCAAGGATCTATTTGCGAAATGAATTAATTTGAGTTTTGTCAATACTAAGTAGTAGGTCATTTGCTGTGGGGAAATTGTTTGATACCTATAGCACATTTGTTGTCTTTGTCATGACCAACTGAGAGTTCTT